GTAAACTAAATTTAATATAATTTTCTCATTAATTTTAAAATTTAAGAATAATTTTTTAACAAGCACCCGTGTAATACACGGGTATTGTACTAGTATATCAATATTATTTGTCCAAACCTAATTACGAAGCATGATTCTTCGCTAAGTAGGATTCCTAAGCACCAGAAACAGCCAAGTAGGCTCAACGCATTCGGGAATTATATAAAGGGAGGATTGGACAGACACACATGCAAATATAATACAGTCATATCAATTTGAATTATTATATCTAAAATTATAAGTTATATAATTGATATAACATATTTTATAAATTTAATTATTAATAAATATTGACAATAGTATTTTGCTTTTTTAAATATAATAAAATACCTTAAAATAATATTTATATACAGTATGATTGTATTTGATTTTACTGAGTCATATTTTGAACAGGTTTTTGATTTATTTAGAAAGGAAATTAACTTGGAAAGCAATCTTGACATTTTTTTTATTGTGAACTCTTATTTTATAAACTAGTTTGTGGCCCGTGCGATGCACGGGAAAATAATATTACTAATGTGTTATAAATTAAATATACAAATAAACTAATCAAGATTTACCTATCATTTTTAAATTAAACCATGTTGAACATTTTCCGACCGGATGGACCGAGAACCGGTTTATAATTAGTCTAGTTCACTTGAATAAAATATTTTCTATTGAAGTTGTCAACACCAGTTGGTTGAATTAGTAGGATCAATACGATTTTCTAAATAAATTTGGCTATATTCAAAAATATTTTAAATAAAATAAAGACTTACAATTTATCAATTAACTTAAACATTTAAATTTTTATATTGTTTAGATATTTAAGTAACAAATTTTATTCAAATTTATTACAAAAAGTACTATATATATATATATATATATATATATATATATATATTAAAGCGTATTAAAAAATATTGTATGATTTTTTTAAATTAAATTGTATGATTATATTAAAGCGTATTTATAAAGTAAATTGTATGATTTTTAAATAAAAAATAAGAAAAATAATATAGCTACTATTAATGGGTTGCATTAAATGCTGACCTATTTTTTTGCTACTAATTTTAGTAAATAGGATGGCTCTTTATATAAACTAGTACGTACCCCGTGCAATGCACGAGACATAGATATTAAATGAATTATTTTCAGACGACTCTGTTCGTTTAAGTCTAAAAATCAATAGGGTTATCATATATATTTCACTTGTATATTAGGGCTCGCTTGTAAAATAATTAATATATTGTCTATACATATTTAATTCTTTTTTTATCGGTTATACATATTTATTTCTTAATTTGAAATAATATAATATTTGACCAGTTGAGTATTAAATCAACACTAATTAATTTATTAAGCAAGTAAAGACGCAAAGCAAGACAATTTAATTATCCAACAATTTAGGGTAATATATAGTTATTTCCTTTATTAAACATGATTTTTAAAAATAAAACAACATCAGCCCCAAATAATAGACAACATTCATGGTTTTGTTGAAAACCAAAATAACAAAATCCTTAATTAATGGGTAGCATTTAATGCTGCCTTTTTTATTAAAAAAAAGTTACTAAGAATAGAATGTAATTAATGCAAAATGATTTTGACCAAAATTTAACCTGCTATTTTTAAAAAATAGTAAATCTTTTTTTATATATATATAGATATAGATTTGTTTTAAATGTCTATGAACGTATTTGAGGATTTTAATTTTTGGCTTGTTGCCATAATCTACATGTGTCTTATAATCATTTTTATTTCAAATAATCATTTTATTTTTCTCTTATAGCAAGTACATATATACATCACTTTCCGAAAAAATAATTATCTTTTTCAGCTTAATTTTTATTTTTTAATTATATAATATTCTTAAAAAAAATATTTTATACCTAATTGCAACCTTAAGTAAGGATGTCATTAATTTGCGATATTTTTTTTTTTGGTACAGGGACCTTCCGGTTTCCGGATCCACAGTAGAATCGACTAATTCGGAATTAAGCCGGGTACAACCTTAAGTAAGGATGTCATTAATTTGCGATATTTAACTATTAATGTTGTAATTTGTTTGTTGATTTGTGATATTATGTCAACCAAAATCAATTTTAAGTCACAATCCAAAGGCGGGCCCACATAGGGGCCTACAGGGGCACGTGCCCTGTGGATGTGAGGAACTTTTTAATTATGTTCCTCCAACAAATATAATAATAGTGATAAAAAAGTGTCATAAAGAAAGGTGATAAGTAGAAAAATATACATTTATTAGACGACACGTGGCTTGGGAGAATAGAGACAGGTGTATTATGAGGACCGTTAGTGTCCAAGGTCAAAGTTGATGCCCAACCTCAAATTTAAGTCCAAGGTCCTGAGGAACCTTACTTTAGGCTCAATGTCTTGATGAGCCTTGTTGTAGGCTCAAGATCTTGAGGAGCCTTACTTTAGGCCCAAGGTCTAGATGTGGCCCAATTGGTGAACCATATTCTACCAAGCTAGTGGGCTAGTAAGTCCTCCGTCTGCATATGGAAGACCTAGATCATCCAACCCCTATAAAAGGTTGACCTATGTCAAGGTAAGGGACACTCTCTCTTCTACTCACTGTACAACCGCCACCTTAATTCTAAAACCGTTTCTAACTTAGGCATCGGAGGATCTACCCCAAGGGATAACCCCGGGATTCTGTTTTGCAGGCGTTGGAGCAAATAAGACGCATTCAGAAGCTACGTCGAAGTATACATCGCCGTCATTTGTCCTCAGACTAAAGTCAGGTATTTCCTGCATACTTTCGTTGTAGGTCTTACAAGTCAAGTTTGTCCTCCTACTTTTAAATGTCTGCTTTCACGATCAATTTATGATTTAAATAAGAAAAACGAGCAAAAATCTTGATTAAACAAAATATAAATTGATTTCTAATGTTAATTAGTTTGTATACTTTACACGTATCATCATTTCAATTGACCTCAAATCATATTGTGCATCATGAATACTCATCATCTACTTTTCATTGATGGAAACGATCTTCTTAAGTAGGTGAAGTGAATCTCTAATTCTTTCGCGTGGCATGATTTCACTATATTTTTAGTTGTAATTAATTAACTGCGCAAAACTGGTTCAGCTACCACTTCCCGCCACGTGGACGTATGGGATACGTGCATGTGTCCAAATAACATTTTCCACTGATTTAATTATTATTATGTGTTTTTATTTAATAATCTTATTATTTCAATTTGGATTGTCGATGGCAAAAAAGTAATGAGATATATTAATTATTATTATGTTACAACTTAATATGCACATATTATATTATAAATCAATAATTAAGCGTCATTTTATGACAAAATAGAAATAATATATATATTAAAATTAAAATAGAAATAATATATATACTGCAAAAAAAAATAGAAAATATTAATTTATAGACATGTATTAAACACAAAACAAAAATGGATGTCAAAATATATATATTTCGGATAATTTACGGTCCCGTTACTGAACCTTTCTGTCGAGATTTGTAACCGTTAGATTAACTATCTCTGACGGTTACATGATGATCTAACGGTTACAAATTTTGACGGAATGATTCCATAACGAGACCGTAGCATTTCCCTTATCTTCTCTCTTTGAAAATCATGAATATGTTTGGCAATTTAGTCAACCGTGTGCACAAGTCACACAACTGCTCAATTTGCTGGAAAACTAGGTTGTGAGCTGGTGAAATAATGTATACACTTTTTATTCACGAGTTCATTTAAAGCTCCTATACACTTATTGTTCTATTCGCTTTAATATTTAATGACCAATTAATTTCACTATATATATATATGCAACACATCCACGCAAAATAATATTTTTAATGCACTGCATATAATTAGGAAGGAAAAAAAAAAA